TGAGCATCAGCTGGAGCAGTCTCCACGCATGATTTTGCATCAGCTCGGGCAGGCTCTGCCAAGGCAGCACAAACTCCAAACCCTTCTGGGTCCTGAAGTCGAGGGACCCGGAGCCCAGGCTCAAAGCCCAGGACGACGCACGCGGCCAGGCGAAGGCCTGTCCAGGATGGGGTTTAGGGTTTAGGTTTGGGTGCTCCATGCATATGTCCAGGCACGCATGCATTGATTTCTTTAGTTATTTTGGGTATTTTTGGGTTCAGGCTTCGCGGATTGGAGTTTAGGGACGCGCCTCTCCACAAGTCTTGGGAAAACACAGCCGCTCCAATGGCCCTTGTCTTCTCAAGAAGCCTCGATGTGCGGCATCCCCGACTGTGTAACGACCACCAGAGAGAAGTTGTAGATGCCTGCCTCAGTGCTTGAGGCCACAAAGCGAGGACAGGAGTGAGACCTGGTGTGGGGCCACCAACACCAAACCGAAAAGCCTCACCCCACAGGCCATAACTCACAGGCACGAAATTGGACCACATGCACGTTGATGTCCGAAAGCATCTACACCCCTGAATCGGGTTGAGAATCACTCCTTCTTCGTCCCGAGTAGCCCGAAGCGGAATGAGGTCGTCGATGGTGATCACAACCTGAGTTCTAGCGCAAATCCCGGCTTTTCTTGAAGCCTCAGCACGGGTTCACACAGCGCCTGCTCTGAACCTCAGTATGCCTGAAACCCCAAACCTTCAACCAGCTTGAACCCTAATTAGTTGAGACCTCAGACCTCATGCACCCAGTTGGGAACAGAACTTTACTGGAAACCGCATTTTCCGAAGCCTAAGCCCCTAAGCCCAAACAAACCGTCACCTCCGTCTGCCGCATCTGCCGTGATGTGCTCGAAGAATCGAAGCACTGGGCTCCTGCCCAAAGGCAAAGCAGACGCTGGGCTGGCAGGTTCAGGGTTTGGAGTCCAGGGATGTCCAGGGCGAAAAGTGCACAGGGTAGGTTATTGGGTTCTTCCGTGCCTCCCGCCTTCTCTCCCCACCTCCATCTGAGAATCTCTCCCCCTCCGCCTACCTGGCCTCTGCCTCACTCCCTCTCTCAGTCTCCGAGCTCCAGGGGGAAGGCTCCCGGTGTGAAATGGGCGCGGGGGCAGCGAGCAGCGAAGCACCACCCAGTCGATCTCCACGGAGACCCTCAGGGAGGCGTTGACCTTGCAGACAGACGACGACACGCTGAGGACTCTTTTACGGTGCTGAGAACATGCAGAAGAAACGATACAAACAAGGAAGCGAACAGCCAGACGAACGAATAATCACGAGATAAGCCTGCACATCGACACTTCAGACCCTCAGGCGCGCTCTAGGCAAGCAAGCTACCAGCCGCGAGGGCACTGTCGGCAGAGAGAAGCTCAGCGCTGCGACCATGGAGGCGGGGAGCCTTGCAGGTTGTAATATTAGGGCTTTTTTGGTTTAGGGTGTAGGGGTTTAGGCGGTTTTCAAATTCTGTCAGATCCGTCTCCTCCCCTTTTTCAATCCATCGTGTCTTGAGTTTAAGGTCAAGTCCGCGGAGTCACCGGCTTAGATCATGGCATGGCATGGCATCGTGCCGTATGTTATGGTACACTCTGGGGGATTATATGATTTTTGTTTGATACAAGCTAACTCTAGAGCATCATGCACACACACACACACGCAGACACATTTTCAGCTCTTATAAGGACCCTGCCGCAAAGCACCTCCAAGTCCGCCGCGACTCGGGAGGCTGGGCCGAAAGTAGCACCTGCCCAGGATTCGCCGTGGTTCACGACTCCATAAGGTTTATGGTTCAAGGTGGGGGGTTTAGGTTTCATAAAGGGGGAGGTAGGTCGTCGAAAGCCTTGAAACGGAAGTTACCCTGTTCTACTTGATACCCCCTCCTTCGACAACAAAACCGCAAGCTTCAAATGACCCAGTAGTGCAAGAAGAATTCTGGAAGCTAGGGCTGCTATGACTCATGTCCCAATTTTCCAACAATAGAAATCTCTCAATGAACCCTGGGACGCCAGGGTCGAGCAGGAGGCTGTGGCACTCCTCGGGCTTGCTGGACCTTGTGGAACTTGCGGTGTGAAAGGCTGCCAGGCGAAAGCCCCACGGCGCCGCATCGGCGCCCGATTCCCGGTAACCTAATACAGCCTGGACCCCACAACCCCACCACCCCGGAACAATATCAGCTCGCAAAACACAACTCTCCCGCGGAGGTCGCGAGCCTGGGCCACGGCTGTGCCACCCGTTGCCCCCTGGCGCCGGGCGGTGCCCAAGACGGGCAAGGCCAAGCGAGGCTCCAAGTTGAAGTCCAAGCTTTCGTACCTGAGGGTTACTTTCTTCGGGACGTGGGCTGACGCAATGACGCGCGGGGGGTCGAAGTACCACACGGCTGCAGTGATACTACTAGAGTTCAAAAATGGGTTTTGGATTTAGGGGTAGAATGGAACCCTAAATCCACATGCTGTACCCGCAACGGCGACCCTGTAGCTGTAGCTCATGCGTGGTTCCTTGTGGGGGCCCTGTCATACCAGCAAGAGACAAGCCAAACAGGCACTAAAATTGGAACCCTCCAATAAGGCAAGCAACTATTGCCCCTTGCACTTATATCATTTAAGGCCCCAATAATACTATTTTGGGGGCTCCCTTTTATAAGAATAGTACAATATACCCCAAAATCTTATTCTAGTTATAAGGCCCCTGTATTAACCAGGCCGCCTGTTCGGATCGACCAGTGTGTCTGGCGTGCCGACCGCCCCGTAGGCCTCCAAGAACCAGAAGTCGTGGATCGCGACACTCACCTGGTTAATGTGGGGGCCATAATAATTAGAATAGGGTTTTGGGGGCTCCTTATTATAACTATAGTAGAACATACCCCAAACCCTATTCTGATTATTAAGGCCCCTACATTACGGATTTCGCCGTTCCCGGCTTCGTTTTGAGGCAGGTTGAAACCTGAGGGTTTAGGGCCCCTGGGCGCAGTGACCCCAAAGCGGGAAGCCTTGAGGCTCAGAGCCCTGCCTTAATAGTTAGAATAAGGTTCCTTTAAAGGGATGCTTGAAGGGTTCTATAAGGGATCTATGATAGGGTTACATATTAGGGGCCTTAATAGTTAGAACAGGGCTTTGGGGTCCTTTATACTACACATAGTTATAATCAAGAACCCCCCAAAATAATATGGGGAATTATTATAGGCCCCTACATTAGACGGTCCCCAGACCTTCTCAGACAACCCCCAAAATGATCTGAGCTGCTGGAGGCTTCACTGCCACCTGGATCCCAAAGGACCTGGCAGCGGCGCATCGTGGATAGGGACTCTCTTGAGGGCTTCCCGAAACAGTGTTCCGAAACTGACAGAACAGTGGGATCCACTTATGGGGTTTCGATCATGGCAACCTCAGGGTCTTGGATGGCTGGCTTTGGCTCTTGTCTGAAGGCAGAAGCTCGGTTGCAGGGCCAGACCCGCACGAGAGCCGAAGTCTTTGTGAGGTGAACGCAGAGTCCCACAAGCCATCAAGCGAGACCACATCAAGCCTGACTCTGGCCTCAACATCCTGAAGTGACGTACCCTCATACTTGTATAATCATCACACCGGTTCTCGAGAGGGCGGCGCCTTCCCTCGATGCCCGGGTTGATGCTGCCGGAAATAAGCAGGCTCAGCATGTTCTGCGATGCTGTGCAGCTGGCCACTGTCGTAAAAGGCCCCAGCTGCACACTCAAGTCGCAGTTGTCCTCGGGCATTTGCCAATGGTCGACACTGCTGCGTAAGGCCCAAGTCTCTGTGTTTTGTCTCCGCATGTGATCGGGGTCCCAAGGGCCTAATGTGAACCGCTGACTTGGAAAGCCAGATGCAACAGCCCTCTGCAAGAAATTCTACACGAAGGTTCATGAGGAGCTATGTGTATTACAACTCGAGCACCGGTTTCTGGTCCCAGCTGAGACCTATCGAAAGCACAAGCCCCTAGCACCACATTACACCCTGAAGGCTCAACCTTATCCTCAACCTTCTACCATATTGGCTTGGGGTCTTGAGGCAAGCATCCGGGAACTGCCATCCACGCGGAGCCAAGAGCCGCAGCCTGCTTCTGCTGTGCCTCAAAGCTCATCGAGTCGGGATTGTGTCAGAAGCAGTTTTCTTGCCTTGACCCAGCCTCGCACTGTCATTGCCCCTCTGCTTCCTTTCTGACCCTCTGCTTCCTTTCTGAGGGTTCCGGGAAGAACAAGCCCCACCAAAAAGATAGCACCCGCTCCTAGAAGCCGAAACCCTAAAGGCAGAGCTGGCACAGGGCAACGGCGAAGGGCAGTGAGAAGCTGACCGACACTGTCCGCTCCTGCAGTCCCTGACCTCAACGGAGGGGATAGAAAACATGATCACCATTATAACAGGGTTTAGGGTTTATAGGGTTTATAGGGCTTATAGGGTTTAGGGTTTAGGGTTTAGGGTTGAGGGTTCGGGCAACCATCGCCACCATGATGATCGAAAGAAGACCAGGAAAACAAGTGACTTTTGTCACCGACCCTACCCTATTCCTCGAAGCAATGCAGGGCCTTAATAATTAGAATTGGTTTTTGGGCCCCATTATACTATGGTTCTGGAACCCCCCCAAAAAATAGTACAGGAAACTATTTAGGCCCCTACATTATACTTGAATGATAAGAGCGTCGACCCTGAACCTCAAACCCTAAACCATACTAAACCCTGAACACCTTAGATCCCCAAGAAGCTAGGGACTTTAAAGGTTCTACTAAATTACTAAATCATAAAAACCCAAAAAGTTTAAAAGTTGGCGATTGGAGGACTAAGACTCCTAAGCCATGAACCCCTCAGCCCTAAGAGCCCCGAACTTTGGGGGAAGAGGCGCCCACGCCGCCCACCAACAACTCGCTCTCGAGCTCCACGCTTGCCCGGGCGAAACTTCGGAAGATCCTCGTTGGAGGCTCGGCGGTTCTAGGGGGTTTCGGGCTTTTTTTTTAAGGGTTTAGGGTTCAGGGTTCAAGTTTTAAGGGTTAAGTTTAGGGTTTAGGGTTTAGGGACTTTAGGGTTTAAGGTTTTGTTAGGGGTTCAGGGTTTCTGGGCACATCAGGTTCAGGCTGCTGTTGGTGGTGAACGCTTGCTTTTCGAACGTCTGTGCCTTCAGAGGCCGCAACTACTTCAGAGTTTACGGGTCAGCCTGAATTGTGGTGCTTCAGGCCTTATGGCTCAGAAGCATGCAATGTAGACGTCGCTTTGGGGAACGTGGAACAGTCTACATTGCCGCCAAGCATCCTGTAGCCGCGAATCTGTCCATAGTGTTTCACAGACCCTTCCGCCGTCAGCGTCTCAAATATCCACACATTCAATTCGAGTTCTGCGGGATCTGGCATCCTGTCTGCTGTTGGATGGCGGACGCCAAACTCGAAGTGGTAGCTTCTTCTGCTCAGCAACTCACAGCACAGTGCCACTTCAAGGCTCCGAGCGCTTGCTTGCAGAGCCTGAGCGGCCTGCACCTGGAGTGGCACGGGGGGATCGCCGTCCGGTGCAGAACATCCTCAATCACCATAAATCACTGAAAGGCCTTGTGCAGCTTATACACCCGGGAACCCGGCTTGAATAACGGAAAGCCGCCGGCGATGAGAATAAGCACAATACTGCAGAGGCAGTGACAAGGATACTACATGACTACAGACATCAGGGCAACAGGCATACTCCAGGTAGTGGTCGCAAAAACAATCACAAGCGTTGAACTCTCAATTTACATGTCAATCACTACCCATAGGCCCCATAGCAGTTCCTTTTTGTGGATTATTTTTAGGATCCTATTAGGGAATCCCCAAAAATGGAACTACGACTATGGGGCCTATGGGTAGCTTGACTCTCGGACCTGAGCGTCCCCGGTGTGGGGGAGGTTTCCCCAGGAGAAGCGCTCCAGGGCCCCGGAGAGGTCGAAGGATCCCAGCTCGGTGTTTGGAGGGCGCAGGCGAAGGCGACCGCCGGCCTCCAAGCGGCAGCTTGGGCATAGGAGTTATAGGGCATAGGACAGAAAGCATCGCACTACGACAACGATGATGAGGAGGAGGAGGAGGATGGGAGTGGTGATGATAATGATGATGAAGATGAAGAAGAAGATTATGATGATGAAATTCACGGCTACTATGAGACCGACTATGGCCATCACCAGGAGATCATGCGCCCAATGAGCATGAGCATCGTATCAGCTCATCCTTATCGTCTTCATCAAACTGCAGAAGAGCTGTGATTCTGCAATTGGGCCTACACTCGGTGTGCCAGGCATTTCCTAAAATATGGAGCTCGCCCACCCCCCCGTGTGCAGCTTAAACCGGGTCTATTTGGAAGCTGGCATTCGTGTTTTATAG